GCATCGCATGCACGTGCCACAAACCTCCGATCGCCGCGCCGGCTAGCGTTCCGGGTTTCAAAATTCTTTCTTTCACCTGTGTCGAGCCTGTGTGCTGTGAGAGAGAGTTTTCTTGTTTAAATTCTTTCTTTTCCCCGCCTTCCCTAAAAGTCATTTCTTTCTTTTTTCTGCGACTGGAATGGGTTGTTTTTGGCAAGAAATGATCAAACCATTAGTCCTGGATTCGAAAAGGAAGGAGGAAGGCGTGTCGCCATCAAGCTCAAGACTTAGGCTGTATCCATGTTTCCTCGTTTCCTTTCCGTGTTTCTCCACAGCACCCTCTCGTTTCCTCTCTAGTTTCCCGAGGAAACTCCGTGGAAATCAGCTGGTTTGGGCCCAAAATCAGCCAAAGCGGCAAAATGTGCGCCAAGCCCTCGCGGGGCTACATCACCGAACGCAAGGTCCAGGCCCGCGGCGCCACGCCGACGTGACTGACTGATGAGACATGAGTGCTGATGGATGATCTCCGACAACCCAAAACCAAAATGCAAATGCGGAGTGGCCCACTTTGGCGTGCAGATCCTGCGTCTCTCACTGCCCGAACAACAGAGACGGGTACCGCCGCAGGTCCCAGAGAAACCTCATAACAAGGCTGTGAACTCCGGCGCCGGGTCAGTCCCGCTCGTCCAATGCCTTCCATGCCTCCTCTCCTGCTCTGCCTCACCTTCGCAGCCCTCCCGGAGCTCGCCGCCGCCGCCGACGAGCCCGTGCGAGACAGCCGCTCGCCGCCCCAGATTCTCCTGTCTCCAGCACAGTGCCAGGCCTGGGGCACAGTGGCCAACGCGTCGGGTGGGCTCGGCGCCGTATGCGCTGCGTGCTCGCGCCCGGGCGAGGGCGGCGATGCGCCGCCATCGGCCGCACCGCCGCCGGTCCAAGCCTCTGACTGCGCCCTCCGTGGCCTGAGTGTCTCCGGCACCGATCTCCAGCCGCCCTTTGACGCGGCAAAGCGCCGGTATGCGGCGACGGTGCACACCTCGCAGCCGATGCTGCTGGCGGAGAGCGGCGCGGATTGCCGGCTGCAGGTCACCTGCTGGGACCGGCTCGCTCCCGAGGCGCCTCCGATCCCGCCCGCGCTCGACACCGGCGTCCCGCGCTTTGCGCTCCCTCTGCCGGGCGAGACTGCGAGTAGCGCCTGCGAGGTGGCCCTG